TTCACCTCCGTCACGAATTTCCGCCAGCTGTCACGCTTCGCCTTCCGCACCTTTCTCGTGTACCTCCTCAAAGAAGAGAGGTAGGCACTTCGGCCGGAAGCACGGAGCGGCTCAGCGTTTTCCCGCTGGAAGGCATGCCGTACCTTATAGACGTCCTTCTTTAGGACTGTCAGTTGTTTCGTCCACCACGGGTTGGACTTTCTAAAGCGCCTCTTCCTGGGCATTGCCCGTTCCGAGGCTTCGATCAAAACTTGGGAGATGGACTTCGCGAAGCTTTTCACCCCCCCAGCGGACTCCAGACTGAGGACCTCGAGTCTCGACGCAGAAAGGTCGATGAGGCTATCGGCGTACTTCTCCCAGTCGGCACGACTCGCGTCGAACCGAGAGTTGGATGTAGGCCGGTCATTGCCTCTGACAGTCTAAGAGCAGCATTTTTTACACCTATCCGAGGACCATTAATGATAGCTCCATTTTCTCAGCGACAATATTATGCCATTCTCCCTCTACAAGTTCGCCAGTTGGCAGTTTATGAACCACAAAAGAAAGAGGGCAATACTCCAGGTTGAGTCTTCTGTTACCTGTCTTGCGGATGAAATTGTGGAGGCAAACAGCACATTCAATGATGATTTTCATATTGTCTTCTTTAGCAATAATAGGGTGACGAAAAATTCTCCAACGAGCTGCTAAAATCCCAAAGACATTTTCAATTACCCTTCTTGCTCTGCTCAACCGCAAGTTAAACACAGACTCGTCATGGGGTATATTGCGCTCGCCATAGGGTTTCATAAGAAAAGGCTTCAGAGGGAAAGCTGCATCTCCTACAAGGAAGTAGGGCATGTCAATATTAGTTTCTGGCAAGGCCTTTGTGAGCCTTCTGCTTCTACATCCAGCATGATGAAATTGTAGTGTGCGTCACAAACTGCCAGTAGAATCATGCTAAACGTCTTCTTATAATAAAAATAAATATTTTGAGACGCTTGTAGGGCCTGTATTTGAACATGCTTCCCATCGATGGCCTCCACGAAATGAGAAAACTGCCAATTTTTTCAAAATTCAGCAGATATCTCAAGCCACTGTATCATTTAAAGGAGGTTTCATAAACATATTTTTTAACATAAAGTGTTCGAGTAGTTTCGGTCAAAATCTTAAAGACAGTACTCTGGTCATATCGATAAGAAAAACTCAAAGTATTCTGACTGTCTCCTGCTGCTGTCGATTAAATTTACTTGTTGCCTTACAGAATTCATTATTACGGCACGTTACGGCACGTACGGTGATTATAATTTCAAAACAAACCTCAAACGTTAAATTCACATCACGTCACTTCACGTCCCGTCGCGTCCCGTTACGTGAAGTTGATCCCGGCATAAATTTGTACAGAAAGTTTTGTTTTACGTGTGCTTCTTGCCAATGGTTTACATGTATGGTCCTCTTGCCTTCAATAATACTTGTTGCCAGAAATTTGTAAGGTAAAGCATACTTCTATAGAATAAATTCTTTCTTCTTTCAATCATTGAGTGATTATTTTCAGTCGAAAGTAAAAGTAAATCTTGTGCATTTGAATCGATTAAAATATTTACTCCTATGGAATCAAAATGCACTTCACATTTTGAATGAAACATTTATTCTTGTGATTTTGACTGACACTATTTTCACTACTTTGAGTGAAAATACTGCTACTTTTCACTTCCAGAAATGTAAAATGTACCGTATCCAAAAAAAAAAAAAAAAAAATAAAAACAGTATTATAGGTAACGCATTATATTTTAACTCTGCTGATAGCGCACACATTCGAGAACTGTGTATATATATCGGTACTTGGGGGCCGAAGAATATATTTCATTAATAAACCGAGTGTGTTCAGTTTTTCAGCAGCGAAGGTCGGCTAAAAACAAACTATTAGATAAATAGAGAGAAGAGGCGAAAACCGAATACCTTTATCTTTCTGATTGCGCGCTAAAAGAAAAACGGAAATTTCGTTATCCATCTTTTTTTTCATTATCATCACAATTCGACTTTTATATTCAGTCTATGTTACGACTATTAATCGAAATGAATATATATGCGGCTCTCGTTTGTATGTGTTATCCTGTTCATAACGATTTATATAGGGCTACGTTTGATATCCAGTAAATTCGAGGATCGCCCTTATATGGATGCATGTGCGTGCAAATGGACGGAGAGAAACGCTCGCATAAGAAGTGCCATAGCTAACAAGATGCCACAACCTGCTACATTGATTTCTGAACGAGTTATAGCACGTTCGATAACTGCGATGTTGAGCATCAATATTCTAATGTGATTTGTGCAAGTGAGCCTTTTTTAGTGAGAAATTATAATATAAATTTTGGGACGCAGAGCTGTAGCGTACATAAGCCGAAAGTTGCGGCTCTTTTTCAGCGAGACGGCGTGACTGAGCCAACTAAAGCTTACGTACCGAATTTTTGGGCCGCCGGCGAGCGTTCAAATTTCATCGACGACTTGTCCGTGTGGAGTATCTTTTTTATTTTTTCTTACCTTAGGTCATGTAATGAATGCTTTTCCAATATAATACATTAATTTTGAATATATCTTTCGTTTCTATGCTATTAATCAGGGATAATTAGGGAAGTGTTAGGCTTGTTTAACGCAAACATTACACACATAATTTAATACACACATAATTTGCATAACTTATGACATATATTTTTAACATGAAATATATTTTT